AAATAAGACAGAATTTAACAAAATAAATTATTATAAACTATGGCATAATGAAATAAATAAGATGAAAGAAAATCAAACGAAATGAAATCAAACGAAGTCAAATAAAATTGAATAAAACAAAACAAGAGAAAGTTTTTTTTGTTTTTCTTTCAATATAAATAAGACATAAGACCCGAACAACCGACTTGGAAGAAAAAAGAAAAAAAAAGAGAAAAAAAGGGGAAAAAAAAATTGTCGAAATAAATTTTGAGAATAAATTTTCTCCATTGCGGGAGTAAACAATCCATCCAGAAGAACGTTGTCTGTCTCTTATTTCAGGAACGAAAGCAATTCCTCTTTCTATGAATAAATCTCAAAGATTTATACGACTCATTATGAAATCATGAATACGATATATTTTGTGCATGTAGATATAATGAGACTCACATTAAATCTAATATCCAAGAAAGTTAAAAAAAAATGTTAAGAAAATCTTCCTCTTCTTTGATAAACTTTGACATTCAGATCGTCAGCTTACTTAAATATAGGATTCGTTGATAGAAAAAAAAAATATATATATAACGGTGAATGGAGATACGAATGAAAAGATGGAAGAATTAATGGTGAAAAGATAATGATGTGAGTTATTCAGTTATTCAGTTATTTTTTTTTTCTGATTATATGTTATTGGAATCAATGTGCTGCTCTTCTCCCCTCTCTCCCCTCTCTCCCCTCTCCATCCCAAACACACTCATCCTTGTCCATCCCCTCCCCCCCCTCCCTCTTTCCCCTACCCCCTAGAGACTTATCCTCCCTTAGGCCTTCTCCCCCCCCTTCCCCTCTCTCGCACTGTACGTCTCTCCTCCTTTTCTCTCTTGATGCTTTCCTCTCCCTCGCCCTCTCCTTCTCCCTCTCTCACTCCCTCTTCTTCTCCCTCTCCTTCTCCCTCTTCTTCTCCCTCTCCTTCTCCCTCTCCCTCTTCCTCTCCCTCACCCTCTCCCTTTTCCTCTCCCTCTCCCTCTCCTTCTCCCACTCCCTTTTCCTCTCCCTCTTTCTCTCCCTCTCCCTCTTTCTCTCCCTCTCCCTCTCTCTTCCTCTCCCTCTCCTTCTCCTACTTCCACTCCCTTTCCTCGCCCTCTCCCTCTCCCTCTCCCTCTCCCTCTCCTCCTTCCACTCCCTCTTCCTCTCCTTCTCCCTCGCTCTCTCCTTCTCCTCTCCCTCTCATTCTCCCTCTCCCTCTCCCTCCTCCTCTCCTTCTCCTACTTCCATTCCCTTTTCCTCGCCCTCTCCCTCTCCCTCTCCTCCCACTCCCTCACCCTCGCCCTCTCCCTCTCCCTCTCCCTCTCCCTCTCCTCCTCTCACTCCCTCTTCCTCTACCTTACCCTCTCCCTCTCCTTCTCCCTCTCCCTCTCACTCTCCCTCTCCCTCTCCCTCTCCTTCTCCTACTTCCACTCCCTTTTCCTTGCCCTCTCCCTCTCCTTCTCCCTCTCATTCTCCCTCTCCCTCTCCAAAATAGAGGGAAACCGATATACAGAATGGTTCTCTCATCGATGTAAAAATTGAAGTAAAAAAGTCAATGGCTCTCGTGATTAGTCTCATTCTCTCTCCTACTTCTCTCTCCCTCTCTTTTCTCTCTCTTTTTATTTCTCTCTCTCTCTCTCTCTCTCTCTCTCTCTCTCTCTCTCTCTCTCTCTCTCTCTCTCTCTCTCTCTCTCTCT